GCAAATAAACCTGCTGAGATTTTAATAGAGATTGAGTTGACTCTGAAGATCAGTGTGGGGAGTACTGCCATCTTAACAATATTAAGTCTTCCAGTCATGAACATGGAATGTCTTTCCATTAATACAGGTGTTTAATTTCTTTCGACAATGTTTTTATAGTTTTCAGTGTACAGGTCTTGCTTCTTCTGTTGAATTTATTCCTTTGTATTTTATTTTTCTTGATGCAGACGTACATGGAATTGTTTCCTTAATTTCTTTTGGGGGTTGTTCACTATCATTGTATAAACATATAGTTGACTTTTGTATATTAATCTTTTATCCTGTAACCTTGCTGAACTCCTTTATTAGTTGTAATAGTTTTTAAGTGGATTTTTTGATTTTCTGTGTACAAAATTGTGTCACGTAAAATAGAGATGGTTTGACTTCTTTCTTTAGAATCTAGATACCTTTTATTTCTTTTCCCTACCTAATTGCCCTGACTATAATCTCTAATACAAAGTTGACTTGCAGTGGCGAGAGCAGACATCGTTTACTTGTTTGTGATCACAGGGGCAAAGCACTTAGTCTTTCACCATTAAATATGGTATTAGATGTGGGTTTTTCGTAGATGGCTTTTTTCAGGTTGAGGAAGTTTCCTTTTCTTCCTATTTACTGAGGTTTGTTTTTTTTTTAATCATGAATCATTGTTGGAGTTTTTTTCAAACCCTTTTCTGCATCTATTTAGATGATCATTTGGTTTTTGTCCTTTATTTTATTGATATGGTATATTACATTAATTGATGTTTGATTATTAAACCAACTTTTCATTCCTCGGTTAAATCCCAGTTAGGCATGATGTATAATCCTTTTTTTTTTTTTTTTTTTTTAATGTTCCTGGATTGTGCTTGCTGGTATTTTGTTGAGGATTTTTGCATCTACATTCATTTGCTGTTGTTTTGTAGTTCTTAGAGCTCTTTTGACATAGATTGCTGTGTTTCTCGTTTCTTAAAGCACCTGTGTTCCTTTAGACAGTACATTTTAAATTACAGTCAAATGTTAAAATTTGTAAAGAGGGCATTAAGATGATTTCACTGCCATATATATATATATATTTGTATAAATATATTTTTTTAATGATGAAAGCTCTTCTTTTTCACCATGCATTTGATTTTCTTGTTACCCTTTCTTAAAAGCAATTTAAGTAAATGTTACCCATTTACTTAAAAACAATATATCCCTTTCTGTCTGCTAGATGTCCTGTGAAATCTAGGACATCTAATCTCTCTAAATCTTATCCACTAAGTTAATATTGAGAATTTATAGAATGCTACCAGCATTCTCTGCTTCCAAATGTGAGATATCAATCAGGGAAAGAAATTTATCTGGTTGACCATTGGTGAGCTCTAACTAATTCTCTTTGGGATAGAAGCTTCGTTGCCTTGACCTTGTCTTTCACATTAGAAAGACATTTCTGGAGTACCTAGAAGAACATTGGGGATATGTAAAGCCTTAAAATAAATCTCTTCCTAGAACATTAGTTTTACTAAAAAGTTTAGAATAGATGGGTATGGGGAAACTTTTTATATTAAAACAGAAAAGATTGTTTTATGGAGAAAAATACAGAATGTGCAGGGATGTTTAAGCTAAAACATAAGCCTTCAAGGAAACTCAGGTTTTTTGCCACGGTTTTCAGCCGAACCACCCAACTCTAAGTGTATGAATTATCATTCCTTGTTAGATAAGAGTACAGTTTGTGGGCATAATTGAGAAATACTCTGAGATGTTAAATAAATGCTGAAATGATTATTTCTTTATGAACAGACTATTGTCCTCCTTGTAAATAATTAACAAACCAACACTGGGAATATCCTCTTGACCAGAGTTTTCAACTTTTCTATCCTATTAGTCAAATATTTCCCTTTTTTGTGTTTACAGTCTCATTTTGTTAACTAGCTTATTTCTGTACTCTAAATGAGATAGAGGATTAGGTATTTTTATGTTACTTTGTGGTCTGAGAATGCTTTGATAAAAAATGTAGATCATGATACCAGATAATTTCTCATACATACACCTCATGGGAAATATTATTGAACATAAATTAAACAGGAAGACATATTTCAGAGTGGATATAAAATCTTGAGTTTGTTTTATTGTCAAGTCCTTTGCATTTAAAGGCTGTATTAATATACTTGCTCCTATTAACTATGCTAATAGGCCACAGAGAAGCCATGCATATCTTTAGATAGGCCTATAGAAAGTGTTGCCTTTTGTGCTTAACACAGCTTGTTAAGTTTATAGCCTTCCAGAGCATAATAATTGCTAACGGGTAGTCTAATCATAGCAGCGTAACAGAAAAGATTTTCTTTTTTTTTTTTTAAAAAAAGCCCTGTTTAAATAGTGTAGCAACAAAATTTTCAAATATCTCTAGAAACTAAATTTAGGAAACAGTGGTTCTTCTGGATAGAGCACTTTAAGTTTTGGGAGAAGCTCATCATAGCCACTGGCATTATTGAATATATGTACAAGGATTTTTTGCCGTCAGTGATCCCTAGAGTTTTCATGGATTTTCTTCAGGTTTGACAAAGGGAGTAAGTAAATGCTGGGGTATATGTTCTGACCTGGCAGTCTCTAGACATACTTTCTTCATTTACTTTAACGTTAGGTAAATGTGGTAGTGTACTTTGTTGTTACTGTTTTTATGACCTTGGAAGCCTTGCTTTCTTGAACAAACAAATCTTTGGGTCATTCCTCATATTTATTTGGCTTTTATGAATGGAATTGAAATGACAGGGGCCATTGTGAGGTTCCTTTCAGATATCCCATAACTGGATAAACCTACTGTGATTATTTTTTCCTATAGTAGGCATTCAGTTAATATTTTTAAATAATTAAATGAAAATAAATCTTCTCTTATCTGCTTATGGATTTTCCTCTTCAGTCTCATCTTTAAGATTTGACCAATCTAAACAGGGAGAGAATTTGCCACATATTTTCTCACCTTGACAGTGTTTATTCTCTCCTTACAATATATAGCATTACCTATTTCATCTTTCTTTTATGCATAATCCTACAGATTCATCACTTCTTTTGTTTTACGTTAACCTCATGAGAAATTTTGCATCGTTACACTTTTTAATATTTCTCTTGTCATCCTCTTCCACTGCCTCTTTCATCCTATGGCTGTAGCTTTTGCATAGATTACAGTATTGTATGCCTTGTACCCTGACCAGATGTTTGTTAACTTCTTTCTTATTTCTTTACAAATGCTCTCCATATTTGTAAAGGACATATATATAGTTCCAGTATGTTTATAGTATAGTAAAGGAAATTATAGAACTTAAGCTGGAAGGAATTTTTTAAATTGTCTAGCCTTTTTTGTTTATGAGTGGGAGTAATGATGCCCAGAGAAATAAGCATGCTTTGCCACAGTCACCATATGTATGTGGTTTTCTGATTTACAGTTTGGGGGTGTACTTGATCTGGAACAGTTTCCTAGCAAAGGTGTTTCAGAAGCCGGTTGATAGATTAAAGAGGAGCGATTTGGATGATAGAATGAATTAATGGTTCAAATTTTTGACAATTTTAGAAAAAACTTAAGAGGCAGTGGGGAATTACTGTGAAAGATGTTAGCATAAATGTGGTTGAGGATAATGACAAGAAAAGTGAAGGCATTGTAAAAAGATGGCAACAAGGGAGCAGGCTAACCTGAGACCAGATTATAAATCCTCTACGTATGTGTATATTTGTTCTTCGTTTAGTTGTGTGGATTCCTTGTAATTGTATCAGTATTAGAGATCATGCTTGTAGAAAGAAGGTCCTGAGTCCCATACATGAGCCTAGTAGTATGCTAAATGTAAATACTAGGAGTTGGGAAAATGATTTGAATGTCATGATAAGCAAGAAAAAATAAAGCTATTTTTTGAACATTACTATATGCCATGCACTTTCACACAAATTAATTTAAAGACAAGATGCAGTCAACTCTTGAACATTCAAAATTCTAATTTTCATTCTGTTATTTCATTGATCGTAATATCTCCACCAGAAAGCTAGCAACAAAGGAAAGGCTGTGGAGTTCATGTTATTCAGAAATTGCTCTGGTGGAGTACAGGTGTGGGAGGAAATAAATTTAGATGCTCAAAGAAAAGATTTAGCTTCCCTGTGGATTTCACTAACACATATCCCTGTGTGATCTTATAGAATAAAATGTGTTGTACTCTTTGGAGAATTAATCACCAGTGACAGAAATTCAGAGCCAACATCTCTGTTCACAGAGTAACATGAAAATTAGGGTTGTCATTTTAAGGTAAGTTTTAATGTTGTTTAGGTTTTTTCCCCCCTCTGTGCTCTTATCAGAAACCACCCATTTTTGATAGGATTGAGTTGGAATACCTTTCAGAGTTAAGCATTAAAGATACATATTTTTGGTCAGTGTTTTTTACTTTATAACCCCTTTTTGAACTAAGAATAAATGTGCAAACGTTTTTTTATCTTAATGCCATTTAAAAATTCCAGTCCAGTTATTTATATGCTACTGAAGATTGCAGGGTATTAGTACCAGGAAAAAGTAAAATCACCTATGTATGTTTAATGCAATATTTAAGCAGTATATATGTTGTTTATTTTATTGACAGGATTTAAATAGAAGTATGAAAAAGATCTAAATCAAAATAAATTGTGCCTTATTTGATAATGAGGAGGTGAAACCTTTGTTTTAAAAATTGGATATTTTTCTGTCTTGGATCATAATTGGGAACCCATAAAGTATAGGACTTTCCATATTTAAGACAATTCTGATTATTGCAAAAATTCTTGATGTAAAAACCACATGCATATTTTATTACAAAGGTGTGGAATATTGCCTTGTGAAAGGTTAATTTTTAAAAATTCAAAAAACATAAAGTATCCCTGAAGAAACCAGCATACCTCTGGAATAAATCTAGTTTTCGTAAACCACAGCTGTAGGCACGTATTTTATTTTATTCTCATGGGCATTTTCTTTTCACTTGTATTTCTTTCAGAGTAAGTGAGGAAAAGGAAGTAACAGAAGAAAGACTCAAAGCTGAGCAGGAATCATTTGAGAAGAAGATCAGGCAGTTGGAAGAACAGAATGAACTGATCATAAAAGAAAGGGAAGATATCCTTTTTGAAAGTCCTCTTTTTTAACATGCAGAAAGTTTGACTCTTTCATGAAGAAAATGTAAACTCCAGAGAAAATTCTTTTAATTTATAACAGAGAGTAAATCTGCATGGGCTGCCACTTTTAGGCAATAAGAACAACACTTAACAGCATGTGTTGTTGCTTCCTTTGTGCTTGATACAGTCGTCCAGCTGTTCCACTGCTGCTCTTATACTGTGGAGCACACATTTGTCAATTCAAAGAGACAATAAGAAATTTGGGCATTAAAATGTAGTGTTGGAACTTTATTAAATTCCGTTCCACTACTGTAATTGAGCCTGAACCCTCTTTGTCTTTGGTATTCTTTCTAGCTAAAGCTTTGACAGTTCTAAGGAATTCTATTCTGAAATCATAAAAATAAAAAAAATCCGTTGTAACTTATAGATGTTGTAATTGATAAATGTTTATACTGCAACATAGTACTACCAAATTATTCTCATGAAAGAGAAAACTATTGGGTTTAGAATTAGAGAGAGGGTTATGTGTGTGTGAGTGTAAATATGTATAATTTCATTATTTGTAAGAAAGTAAAATTAAAAATGGTGTTTTAACTTAAGAATTGTACTTTAAGGGATATGTGAGTTGAAATAAGCATATTTCTGAAGTTTGTTTTGACTGGGTAGATACTTATCTTTGGGTGTTTTTTGCAGTGACATTGGTATGAAAGAGAAATGACTGTCCCTAAAGTTAGGATGCTGGATCTGCCAGCTAAAGGAGTATGTGAATGCTTAAAGGAACGATTGTCCTTATTGTCAGTAGCATCATTTACTTGATTTTTTTTTTTTGATGTTGACCATTTTTTAAGTCTTTATTGAATTTGTTACAGTATTGCTTCTGTTTTATGTTTTGTTTTTTTGGCCCCAAGGCACGTGGGATCTTAGCTCCCCGACCAGACCAGGGATTGAACCCGCGCCCCCTGCATTGGAAAGTAAAATCTTAACCACTGGACCACCAGGGAAGTCCCCCATTTACTTGATTTTAATAATTTTTTTGAAGATTCTTTCAGTGTCAAAAATGATCATGTATTGACAGTAACTCTACCTTTGTGAAAACCAGGGAAATAGAAGCATAAACATAAATTAATTCACTGGAAAAAAAAGCACAAAAAATAACTATAAAAATTGAGTTCTGAACTTGTATTTCTCAAACAGTAGGAGTGCGTGACTGCAAATTAATAGAATCAGAATTCTCGGATTTGATTTGTGGAGTAGAACATTTGTTCGTTTTATGGGCCCCACAGTTTGAAAGGAGTACTTTTTCAATTTTTTTTAATATATTTCTTTAGCATTTGAATAATCATCTTGGGACTTCTCTTTTCTTTGCTTTCATTGACTTTATTGCGCTGGGTTGTCAACTCTCAGGCTATGCCCCCACCTCTGTGATTTTCTTCTTGCTACTTTTCTCTCGGTTAGAATAGCACTGTTTAGTCAGAATTCACATCTGTGCTCAGCCAGTGTTAGTCTTTCTCTTTGCAAAAGGAATAGTGACTCAGGACCCTAGTACTTTCAAGAAAAGGTGGACTAGGAATGCTTTTACTTGTAACAGAAGTTCACTTTACAGGGTCTATTTCTTTGCACATAACAATTCTGGAGATAAGTGGCCTCTGGCATTGGTTCAGTGGCTTAAAGTTTTCAGTACTGGGTCTGTACAGTTCTCTTAGCTTCTTCTAATGGTTGCAGGATTCCAGGTTTTGAGATGGTTGCTCCAATTCCACGTATTACATTTGCATTAAGGCAGAAAGAAAGGGAAAGGAAGACGTTATAGTAGTTGTGACTCCCTGTCCTTTTTCAAAATACATAAAATCTTTCTCAGGGCATTTCCCTCCATGATGCCCCCCAGCAGTCTTTCATGAGATATTTATTGTCCTGAACTTTATCACATGGGCATGCTAATCTGCAAGGGAGGCTGAGGAAGTGAGCATTTAGCTTATCCAATTTAGACAGTGGGAGGCAGCAGGGAAGGGGATTGGAAATGAAGTCAGCCTCCAACTCTGGTAGCAGAAGTAGGGGAAATTGAAGTCACTGTTTTAAAAAAATTTTTTTAATTTTCATTTTTCTGGCTGCTCCATGCAGCATGTGGGATCTTAGTTCCCCAACCAGGAATCGAACCCATGCCCCCTGCATTGGGAGCACGGAGTCTTAACCACTGGACCGCCAGGGAAGTCCCTGAAATCACTTTTTAAATACAGAGGAGGTGGTGATACCTTGATCTCCCCGGAACAAGATAAATAAATAAATAAATATTATGTCAAGTGGAATTGGGGTGAGTTGGAGAAATAAAGTGAGAGAAGGAGGAGGTAGCAGACAATTTAGAAATCCTGGCCACAGTTAGGGTGCGACCTTGTTTATCTGTATGCTTAACAAAAATGTGTGGCTGTCTGATAAAGCAGAATTTAACTTTGGTGGACTATTACATTTAGCACTCTTCTGGATCAAGATTAATTGTATTTAGTGTTGAAGCAGTCTAAACTCAGCATGGTTATGGACAGAATTGTTTCTTCTATCAGGATGAATATTAAGATACCCCCAGGTGATTGTAGTGACACAGTTTTTCCTGTTTTCTTAGCACATAGGTCAGCAAACTACTGCCATGGGCCAGATCTATCAGGGTGCCAGCTAAGTGCAGCCACACATATTCATTTATGTATCTTCTGTGGCTGTTCTTGCGCTACAGCTGCAAGTGGTGCAGTTGCAACAAAGACCCTGTGGCCTACATAGCCCGAAATATTTACTATCTGGCCCTCAGCAGAAAAGTTTGCTTGCCCCCATCTACCTTATAAGATTAAAGTAAAGGAAAAGGCAGGTAAATAAGTCAATGACTTAGACATGTGTTGTAGTTAGACCTATTTTGCATTTGGTATAAAAGGATTTGATTTGAGCATTTATTATTATTATTGTGAGTGAAGATTGGAGCAAATATTAGACCATGTTCAAAAATTAAAATGGTTTAGTTAGTATAATTGGTTTAAGATTTTTTGAATCACCTAAAGATAAGTGGTATTTGGGGCTTCCCTGGTGGCGCAGTGGTTGAGAGTCCGCCTGCCGATGCAGGGGACATGGGTTCGTGCCCCAGTCCGGGAAGATCCCACATGCCGCGGAGCGGCTGGGCCCGTGAGCCATGGCCGCTGAGCCTGCGCATCTGGAGGCTGTGCTCTGCAACGGGAGGGCCCACAGCAGTGAGGGGCCCGCGTAACGCCAAAAAAAAAAGGTGTATTTGTAGAACTTGTCAAAGAAAAGAGAATGGAAGATATGATTAAAAAACAGTGACATCCATGGTTTTTATTCCAAGTAGACTGCTCAAGTACAAATCTCTTTTACCAGTATAAACTTGTCAAAGGATAATATAGATGATTTTACAGTACATAAAACTCTGTAAAACTTAGAAACATAAAACAAGGATATGATTTAAAACAATACAGTTTTAAGTACAGATATATTAACCTCTCGTACATGAATGATTCAGACTCATATGCATGAAATCAGATAATTTCAAATTATTTTAAAGCCTGTTTCTGTGTGAGGAACTATATGGATTCTGATTTTTGGCATTTTAAAGGTGTGTTATCCTAATTTATGGGTTTTTTGTTTTAAAAGTGCTAATAACAGGATTTATTGATCAACTATACGAACCCAGACCAGTCCAGTCCCTTAGTCGAAAAGAGTAAAAATATTTTACATATTTGCATTCGGATCAGGCTTTTGAAGGATTTGTTCTTACACGAAATAGAGAATTTATTACTAAAACATAAAAATCCTTGGTAGTTTTCAGTCTTTCAACAAAGAAAGCTTATTTCTTGAAAAATTAACTATGTAAATGAATATGCCACTTACAAAGTCAAGCAATCTGATGAACCTAGTTGATTTTTGCAGAGAGAGAGAGAAATATGTCCAATAGGAATAATTCTAAAACATGTTAGCATGTAATAGTATAAGACACAGAGGATGTAGCCATTACAAAAGTTGATTAATGTTTGAGCTGATTGTATTTCCAGAACATAGGTCTCAGGTCAGGATGGTATCAAAAGCTTACAGAAGGAAAGTAAAGTTTGATATTTTCTGATTTCACTGTTTTAACTGACAGAGCAAGGGAAGTGACAGAGAAGAAAGCACAATGGGCTTTAGAGTCAAAATTGTTTCAGCACTGCCTAGCTGTCTGACCTTGGGAATGCCACTGAACTTTTCTAAGTCTCTTTTTTCATCTTTAATATATGGATAGCTAATAGTGCCTTTTTTGCAGGCTTGTTGAAATTTGGCAGACTCTTTACATTGTGTGTAAAGAATCTAGCAGTGTTTCATACTTTGGGACACTGAAAAAAAGATAGCAATTCTCGTTATTACTACTATTAATATGGATGAGGGATGAGTTGACTAGCTTCTCTGTTTCTCGCTTTTGTGCCTTTCTTCAGTGGGGTTTTGATGGTTTTCATTAGGTTAAGCAGGTGCTTAGGCTGCTTAGAGGCCCAGTAGGAGAGTGAAATTATCTGTTCTCTGCTTTATCTTCCATTTCTATGAAAGAGGAAACCTTTCTGCATCATATATACCAGTTAGGTGCTCATTGAGAACAAACCAGGTCTTTCTTTCCTCTCCCAGAAACCAGACTGACAGAAGTGTTTGTTTTTTTCTCCTTCTGGCCTGTTTCCATTGTCTCTCTGATTGAGACTTAGTAAATTGAAGAGGTTTAGAGATACTTAGAGCTTAGATGCTCAAGCCCATTGCATCAGAGTTTGTTTTAGAAACCTTGCTCTAGGAAGAAAGAATTTTAAAGGAACCAACCTTAACCTTTTTGAGGAATGTTTTAGAATGAGCCAAAGGTCTCAGTATGTCTGTGCTGAAATTAGACTAGAGAAAATTCACAAGAATTTTATCTAATTATGTAAAAAGAAATCATTTGTTCAAATAGCAATAATACTTCAGAGGTATTCAAAGCTTTCTATTTAACTACATACATCTCTGCTACAT